TCTTGGAGTTTTTGATGGGCCCACCTTCAATAATTCTAAAAACTATATGGTTTTGTAGTCCGTGAAAAGAGCTATCCGGTGGTGTATAATTGAAGCTGACTTTCTTGAATTTATATAGAGAAAACTAATCTGAAAGGTTGTCATGTAATTACTATGTATTCGTAATAAGATCATTCGAAATCATAAGGTAGGAAGTCGTCAAATGTATTGGAAAGTACTCGCCAGTTGAAGCTCTTTCATCCTATATATGATTGTGCTGTACATAGTATGAAAAGTCCAATGGGCCAAATTACGGTCTTATGCGCCCCTGTCCTTTATTAAACAAAGACATATGGATGTGCGACGGGTTCTACAGACAATATCAGTCCGCATATCATCATCCTTAAAACATAGAGCAACAAGTGTGGGTGGTAAGAAAACATAGATACATTATATCTCTTTCAATGTGAGCATCAGAGAAACACAAATAGTTGATAAGTGTGAAAATTCAGTTGTTAAGTACTTGAGCTAAACAAAATCATAATAAAACATTTGAATATGTCAACTGCATAGTTAACACAATGGAGTCGAACTTGCAAGTTTGACGCTACACGAAAGTCCTTTTTTTTGAACACAATCAAGAGGAATAATCAAAGCGATCAATCAAAATTAACTTTTCTAATCGATTTAACATAATTGATGAACTATTTTGTTTTTGTTTATTCAGGACGTCATTTTGATTTTATCTTGACATGTCTGGTCAATAACTATCCATTAACCCGTGGATGACATGTTCAATGAGTTCTTTGTATTTGAACAATAGATCATCGATCGATCAATTTGTCTGAACAATTAAATACTTTTCAGTTGATTGACTCTCTTTCTATCTATCTTTTTTTTCTCTTAATCTCTCTCTTTGAATTTTTTTCTCATGGTAAACTATTTTTCAACCAATGATCAAGAAGAGTTTCTACAACTTTTCTTTTTTCTCTTTCGATTTCTCTCGATCACTCTCTCTCTCTCTATTCAACAGTATAAAAAGCCGATGATATACAGCAAACAGGAATCATTTTGTTTTATCGTCTCTTCATTGTTCCGAACAATATTCTTGTTATTAAGGTAAGTGTTCCAAAGTACTTCCTTTCACATCACTCCTCCAGTACATTTGCTTTTTTGACTTTATAATTTTCATGTCTATACTCAACATCAAATCATATGCCATCGTAGTTTATCCTAACACAATCAACTGATTCTAATTATTATACGATCTCTTTATTCTTTAAACATTTATTTTAATCCTAAAGATATATGTTGTTTAGATACTTCTTTTCAATCTTAAGTAGATAAGCCATCTGATGAGATCCTTAAATAAGATTGAAAGCGGTCACGGCATACTCCTGCGAATTTGTCTTAACTTCTTCATTTATTTGGAGAGTTTGGACTTATGTAATAATAGAATTCTAAAGATACCTGCCGAGTCCGTTGAGAAAGGATGATACGCGTTGTGTCGATCCTCTGAATTCTAAAAAATTTTATTTCTTTTCTTAAAATCGATTAACTACAAACTATCATAATACCATGTTTTTAGAACTTTTAAAAGTCAATCCCTTTTATTGGCAGACTCGCATAAAAAATCTCAACTGAACAAAACAGTATCAAACGGAGCGATATACAAAATGATCGTAGTGACAGACAATCATACTGGACATATGACTTGTTGTTCTTCCTCGGAAACTAGTAATAAGCAGCGGAATACTTCTTGTGAATATTAACCAATTAGTTTAATTCTTATCTTTGAATAACTATGATATAATTTCTTTGTTTTTTCTTTTGTTTCTAGTACCAAGCGCAAGAGCCACAGTGGAAAGTCATATTTATCAGTTTACATAGGTTTTGTTTCTTTTTTAAAAATTATCTCGGCAGCAAATATATATATATATATCAGACAGAAATTGTTTACTTCACAGGAGTCCTAGTTCAATTTTTGCTAAAAATATCTATGATTTATTTTAGATCTAATATAACTTCGATTAGAAAACACAACGTCTCCTATTAATTAAGGTGCATAGACGGACGTGACAGTATTCAAGAAAACCAAATGATAACTGACAAACCTCAAACACCGTTATTACAACCTACAAAAAAGATAAGAAAACCATGGCATATCTCAAATAATAGCACATATTATAAGAACATCCAACAGCGTCGTTTATCTATTGATAACTGGAAGAGTTCATTACAGATGCTACCAAATTATAGAAAAATGACTGGAAACATATTCATACATCGATTGTCAAAAAGTATTCCTAGTCAGAGTGTAGTGATACGGCGACTGTTAACGAATACAGCAATGTTACATTTTGTTCGACATCGTGTTCAACTGGTGTGTAATTTTTCTGAATTGAAAATAGAAGAAGATTATTGGAATTATATTGCTGATGTAGCAATGCCTATTATAAGATGGTTATCTCAAACATCTAAAGATATAACGAAACGAAACTTCATTAACTGGGATTATCCTCGAACGGAACACAACATTAGACATCGACAAAGATTGATCGATAATAAATTAAAACAAACAGAGGCTAATTTGAAGGTTCATTTACAACAAAGACCTCCTGGTGTTATCAAATAAAATGAAACGTATCTTAATGAATCAATGAATACCATTGGTCAAGCTCTTATTATTCTCTTAATGAAAGATTTAAAAAAATGTATGGATTACTTTCAATACAAGAAAATCGTACTAAACTTCGATCTTAATGAAGTCCATCTGGTCAAATCATTCTATGATTGTAATCCAACTGAAGAACAGGTTTCGAACGATACTTGGGACATTATTTTTACTTAGTTTGTTTGTTCTAGGGTCGTTCTGTTCAGCATCTTTGGCGAATAACTGCTAAGTCATGCAAACGAGCAATAACTCTAAAAAAAACTCTTTATCGTTGACCAAACATACTTCAAACAAAGAAACGATACATAACAACAGCGCTAAAGAACACATGAACACGATTGGATTCGACCGTAATACTGGTCATCCTGATGAAAGTGTTTTCACCAACTCTTCTTCAATCATTCCTGAGTCCCATACGAAACATCATTGAAGCTCGTCTACTTAATATCAAACAATGAGCTGAACAAATTATACTATTTATCCATGTGCCATGTCGCTAAAAACCCTATGTTTCTCATATATTTCAGAGACTAAATCAATATACTGTTCTTGTTTATTAAACATTTTCAATCCGAAGAGTATCCATTTTCAGTTTCATTATGATGGAACTTTTCTTCTAATAACCACTAACTCATATATATCTAATACTTTCGTCTATTTCAGATATATATCCCATTCAAAGTTAACTTTTCTTCTACTGTATCAATTCTGTCCATTTGACGACCCAATCATTATAACCATCAAGCTTCTAACGTGCCTGCAGTCAATAAAATTCAACGAGGCAATAGGTGACATATATAAACCACATTATGGACATCATATTCTTCGCCATACAAGCAATCCTTGATTCTTAATCCTCTTACACGCTACAAGTGAAGAAGTCCCGCGACGCATAACATATATGGAAGTCTGAATAGTGATGTAAGCCATAATGTCATAATAAAATATTCTCTTATTCATGTAACCAATAAGTTATTACCGACTATTATAGGAAACAAACTTCCAGGATAAGTAATTCTTCAAATAAAAGTAGGCACACCCAGACCACAACTTCTACCATAAAGAAAATTGAACGCATTAACAGAGCAACATTCTTCCGAGAAAAAGACGCGAACAGCAAAATTATTTGAATAACTATCTTCAGCCATGAGCTACTAAAAACAATCACTCAAAGAATCTTCAGTAGCACTATTCTACGGAACTATCACAACACCACCACTTTACACTACAGTACACAATATATAGCTCGACAAAAATTTGTAAAGAACTAATTTCCAAAAAAAGGTATACCTGCGTACCACCCAAATGCGAAAAACTTCCTTTCCAAATACAGTCAAGCTGATTATTTCCCATACATCTATTAAAAATGATACTTACAATCGATCTCTTCAAATAAGATGAAAATCTACATGGAAGTAAAAACAAACTAAATATATTCGGTTAAACATATCATTCGAACAACGTTCAAACCCTTTAAATGCGAATTATTCGCTGTTCCATTTATTTTATCCCTTCATGCTCAAAAATAACTAAAGTACTTAGTATTTGATTTGAAAGTTTCTTTCGAAATTTTTAGACCATCTGTATAAATACTTGCCACTTGAGAATATTCCAGTAGCTTTGAAAACTTTTAAGTTTTGTGGTAACTCCACGCAGTCTTTTCGACTTTTTATCGGAACAGTGATATCAGTGCCATCAGACAATCATCGCTGTTAAGAGAATATGTCGACATTATAATTATTGCACATATTTTTATGTGGCTGTGTCTACTTCGAAATTAAAATTTTAACATTTTTCGTTTAGGTTGTCTTTGTATGGAATCTTTCGTGAAGATAGTTGCCACTTGATAATTCTGATCAGGAGCTGTGAAATAGTCAGAGTATTATTTTAGTTTTACACTCGAATTTGGAATTCAAAATCAACACGATCGAAAACCTTCCATTGTTGATGGTATGCCAAACTAACTATTATTACACAAATGATGCATATTACATACGATCATCACTTCAAGTGAAACCAAAAAAGGAACAACAATAATATTAACTCATTGCGTTTATGGACACTGTGGCTATGAAGTATAGCCAATACGAAAAAAAAGGCATCTGTGGAATATACTTACAGAGAAGAAAATGAGTCTTCTGATGAACCCTTTGAGTATACATGAAATCGATTACGGTAGTTCTGAAGACATGTAAACCCAAAATGATTACTAAGCGCAAAGAATGGTGACACATTTTGTGAATATTTTTCATATTTCTTGCACTGTTACTACTGTATTTCTTTTTTAGATAGCTAAGAAATTTTAGGTTATTTCCTTCAAATACTTTTCGTTTTGTCAATGATGGCAAGATCGTCACGTAACTTCAAAACTACAATCGATGGTAACGACAATTCTTATCAGAACCTAGTAAGTAACACTTAATGATAAAAGAACCATGATTTTGTATCATTGTTCGTATTGTAGTGTGGAAATTTTCATTTGTCTGCGATGGCTATTTTCAACGATCTCGATTCATGTGATAATGATGATATTAACGAGGATGATCAAGATGCCAATCACAGAGTGAAACAAGATTATGATTTGGATAATATTTATTCCAGAGAAGGAGAAGTGGAGGACAAGTTAGACACGGATAGTGATGACTAAGATAATGACGACATGGAAATGATGAACATAGAAGATGACAGTTTCCAAGATAATTTGAAAAAATCTCCAACAGCCAACAAAAGCAAAGTAGAATCCAGTTGCTGGAAAACTATGCTATGTACATATGTTTCTTTTTGTAGCGAACCGAACAGCGTGCTCTATCACAGAAGTTCAGTCAATTATCAACTTCTCGACAAAATCAATTGGAAACTGATCCAAATAAAAAAATACTTAATAAGGTTAAAAAAGATGAATTGAAAAACGTTCCTAAGTATCTGACGAAAAATAACAAGTCGTTCGAAAAAATGCTTAATAGAATGTTATGTACAAGTGCAGCAGCAACGGTAGTATTATCTTCCAGCAACATAGAAAAGTATCGACAAATAGCTATTCTAATTCATCGTATCAAGTACATTGAGATTTTATATTCTTTTTGGACGGTCTATTTACAATCAAGCTCGGGCCAATTGAAGTCTCATTATACTGGAAATGAATTAGATGCACAATTATGGGTAAAATCTGTCAAGTCTATGGTTAAACAGGCTGTTCGTTCAGGTATCGAAGAGAATGAAGCTTGTTTAGCTTATGTCAAAAAATCGTATCACTCAATTAGACAAAGCTAAGCAAGAATCTTGTGCTGATCTAGAAGTTCAATTAAATCATTTACCTCTTGGTGCAATGAGGATTCAACAAGTAATTGAGAAATTCTTTGAAGAAAATCTCGCCAGTCTACGTAAGAAAATTGAACACAAAATTCCGTTGGTACAATATGATTTTGACGAGGAAGTCTTAAAACTCGAATATCTCAAACAGAATCCACCTGAAGTTCAAGTAAGATCATCAAAAAGAATCTCATATGTATCTATGTAACTCAATTTCTTTGTTCCAATTAGATACAATTAGCAGAAGAACTCTGTACTGCTAAACAACAAGAAGAACTGAGCAAATTTACATCCGAACTACTCGATCAACAAGTTATTCGTTATAATGATTCCACAAAATTTGATCAACTACCTATTACTCGTGTTGCTTTGTTTGATTCCATTCGTAATGTGGACGTTCAACAACATTTCTATGCTCAATGTCGACAAATAAGTGAACAAACGAAGACAGATATGATCACTCTCTATACTCAGTCAGCTACAAATCAACAGAAACGTTATCAGAATCAATTTAATGATAAAATGACAAAAATGCGAGAAGAACAACGCTTTCTTCCCGATGAACAAAAACTAACCACGAAAATGATTGAATTGATCGAACAACGTGCCCATCTGATTGAAGAACGACTCAAATGTATTTATAATTTTAAAGTTCAAACATTTACCTTTGAATTATAAAAATGAAAGTATTCCTTTATTCTTTTTTGTTTTAATTCTCATTCTCATTGTCATTGTTGCTTTCGTCAAAAGATCTATTGCTCACATGTCACATTGTGTCTTTTTAGATTTTAATATACAATTTTATCTTCAAGAAAGATGAATGTCAATCTGTCTGGTCAACCACCGTCACAATCTCGACCGGTTGTTAATCGACCATTAGAAGAAGGAAATCGTGGGAGACAACGAAAAAAATATCATGGTAATAAAAAATTACAACGTTTACGTCGCAGACGACGTGCTCGTGGCATGACTGAAACAGCCATAGCTAAAACCATTAAGGCACGGAAACATGTGAAAGAAAAGCAAAAGTCAAAACCATCGAAGAAGGTGACTACGTCAACATCAGTTCTTCAAACGGAACCCCCGGCAAGAACTGTACCGATAGCAGTAATTGATGACCATACATAATTGTTCGTATCACATTTCATTGAATATCTACTATTGTATCTCTAGAAAAAACACGAAATTGACAACAATCAAGGAAAACTTACTACGGCAACAAATAAACGTAAAAGAGATGTTTCATCTCTCGAACTGAATTGTTATTTGGTTCCATCAAGCAGTCATACCACTCTTCGATCACCAGCAAGCAAAAAATGAAAAGAACCATATTCATCCAATCCATTCTCCCAAATAGTATCAGTGTGAATAAGAATTATCCGTAAGCCATAGTTAGCTTTTTTTCTCATCAAAGGTCTTCACTTCACTCGATCTATTACGCCTATATGTAGATTACCAGCTTATTTAACTCATTCACCACATTTGATCTTTCAAGCATTACGTCAAGAATTTAATCGTTTCTTGAATAAAAAAGATGAACAAATTTTTATTCATGTACGTCTACAATTGTTAGACCGACAATATCGTCTCGAACTCGATCAACGTTTATGGCAATCCTATTTAAATCTCGGTCTTCAAGAAAAGTTATGGCCTGTAAGTTTTTTCCGTTAAGAGTAACTCTGAATGTGAATACTGTTTTCATTTATTTATTTTATGTTAAGCGTTCATTGTATGAAATGGCCAAGACCGATCAGTCAGAGCTATGTGAAAATTATATTATGACACAATTAGCTGTAATCGACGACCAACTAGAGCAGTGTAATATGAAATTGTTTACACAAGTGCAGTCATCGATACCTATTCTATTACCATCATTAGATATAATGGATAGAAGTTTGAAAAATTATGTTTCTCTACAACAACACTATTTAGTTGAACGCATAGATCATCAAATAATGAGCTGTAAGAATGATATTCGTGATCAGCAACTCAATCGAGATTTGTTTACTTACAATCTCACTAATGCTAAACGAAATGCACTTGAGCAAATCATACATATACGAAAAGCACAATTGCAAGTCTATGAAGAATTTATTATGTTGGAACAACGTATCGTTCATCAATTTCTGTCACCGAACTTTGATCAATTTGAAAAGATTACTGCACCAGATTTTTATTGCCCACCCATTGCTGATATTACAGTAGTCGATCTTCGGACAAAACGTCGTACTATTTTAAAGCGAGGAAAACGTCATTTACTCAATATTTTTTATTCTGCCTATGAATATAAATTCAATGAATGTGAACAACAATATCAACAAGGTTTAAAGGATTTTGAATTACAATTGTCTACAACAATTCAAATTAATGGAATGTCTCTGATCGACTATTTCAAAGCTTATATGTTACATCATACCAATCGAGCCATCGATAATATATTTCATAAACTAGGCCATTTTTGACAGACCATTTCACAACGTTATCAACGTTCTTCATCAGACAAGACAATGGTTGGTGTATCTTCTGAAGTGACCATTGATGTTCTTCATTGTTCCTATAAAACTGAAGAATTAACTCATTTATCTCTAAGTAAGCATATAAACACACGCCAATGACAACCATTGTATGTTTATAGTTTCATGAATTGTTGTATTTTGTAGGTCTAAATTATGCTCGACCAAATCCAAGTACACTACGTCCGATAAAACATCGTGAAACTCAAATACAATATCATCTCAAAGATATCAATGAGAAAGTAAAACGTCAATTGACGAACTACTGTAAGAGAGAACCTCCAGCAGCAAGAATGACACATTATTCTGAATTACTTGAAAATCTACTTCGACAACATTATATGGCTCCATTATCCTATGTTGAATGCATGCGCACTCAACGAGAATTCAAATTAGTAAAGTCTATTCAACGAAAAGCACAAAGAGCAACACTTATTATACGGGTTTGTGATAAAGGTGGCGACTTACATATAGGGAATGAAAGTGATTATGAAAGAAAAGCAGCAAAATATCGAGAAGATACAAAAGCCTATCAAGAATTATCATACAATCCATTGATGGAAATATTAACTAATGTAACAAAGGCGCTTAATGTTCTCAAGAATAATAAGCAATTGGCACTCAAAGAATATAATCGTCTAATACCGAAACCGGATCTCATTAGATTATCTTACATGTATTTTAATCCTAAACCACACAAGGTTACTATTCTTCTTTAATAATTCGTCAACTAATGTTGTACTAAATATCTAATTTTCATTCTTTTCTTGTTATCTAGGAAGAAACTCCATTATGACCCATTCTGAATACCATTAAAGCAGTAACCAGACCCATCTCTGATTTCCTAGATGAATTAATTCGACCTATCTACGATCAATATAATAAAGATAATACAATTATTGACGGTGTGAATCTTATCAAACGTCTCGAAAAATATGCTGCTGATGATCATCTTAAACCATCGACTCTTTTCTGTACTTTCGATATTAATAATTTATATACCATGCTGCCACAAGATGAATCCATTCGAATTCTAGGTGATTTTCTTCACCACTTTGTTGGTGAAAGAGTTAAAAATATCTCGGTTACGACCATTCAAAAATTGGCCGAAATTGTTTTGAAAGAAAATGCTTTTGTCTACGATCATAAATTCTATAAACAGATTATTGGTGGTGCGATGGGTCCACCATTTACATTAACTCTAGCCAATATATTTATGTGGCATTGGGAAAAACGTTGGGTTTGCCGACAAAACAGTAAGAAAGAAATCTCTGGCCGGTATGTGAAATCTAAATATGTTTAACTATATGTTCTATTATTTTTATTTATGATTCTAGATACATCGATGATGTCTTCTTTACGTCGAACAAATCGGTCGAAATAGTTCAACAATTATTACAAGATGCGAATGGATGGCATCCGAATATTAAATTAGAATCGAACATTGGAGGTACTGTTCCATTTTTAGACGTTTTCTTGACTAATAACAATGGAGTTCTTCATACATCCGTTTATCACAAACCTTCTGCTGAACCATATGTTGTTCCATTCCTTTCCGATCATCCACGACATACATTTTCAAATATTATACAAACGGCTCTTGTTCGAGCCATTCGATATTCATCAACAGTCGAAGCATTCAATAATGAACGACGTGCTGTTCGATTTATGTTATTATTTAATGGGTGAGTCTTCTATGTTTATGATGATACAGTTATTCAAATCATTCCAGTAATGTCATATTTTAGTTATCCAACCAGATATATTGACAAACAATTTCGAAAAATCTTTGGTACTTACATTTCATCGGATTCAATCCTACCAATAATCGATAATGAAGAACAATTTTTTCAATTACGCAAAGTATACATGAATCAACCGACGGCTCGACATTCTCAAGTCGAAGCACGTATTGCACAATTCAAGGAAAACAATGAAGAACATCAAGTCGAACAACTTGTAACGACAACATCAATAACGACAAGAAAACAAAAAAAGAACATACTTCAAGATGCAGTGATTATACATTATATACATGAAAAACGATTTACAACTATGAAAAAAGATATGCATAACATTTTTCGTGAAGCTTTTTAAGGTTTTGGCATAGAAGCCGTGAGACTTATTGTTGGCCATCGAAATAGTCCGAATTCGGAACGTGAACTCATACGTAAACGACCACCTCTCAAGTATCTGACATTAAAACAACAACAAAGTAAGAATTTTCATTTGAGACCGTCCATCTTTCTTCTTGTATTTTGCTTACTACTATCACACCACATCTTTTTTCGTGTTTCATAGAGTTGACAATAAATGCTGAACCACAACCATCACTCATCACAGAATAAACAGCGACAACGAGTATGGTCATGAATAATTGAACAATCGACAGCATATAACAAGTTTTTTTAATATGTTAACTACGTTAGTTTTCTGTTCTTTTTTTGTTATCTCTTTTCTTTCGTCATCGACATTACATGAAGAGAAAATTCGACTTATCAAATGTTCTAATATTATCATTTTCAAAAAAGAATATAAGAAAAAACGTTTTCATTTTAGATGATTTTTGTTCTTCTAAGTTCTTTGGTGTCCATACGATTAATCGAATAGCTGAACACAGTATCCCATTCACTCTATTAAAACATTTCTTCAATAAGAACGAAGCATGGTGAGTCATTTGAAATTTCTTGTTCAATAGTCTATTATTTATTTTCTAAATTTTAGATAGGTACTCTTTTACATTATTGACGATCTTATTGTTTGATTTCTCTCTTGTTTTATCTCCTTCTGTTTATGCTAATTATTCTTTTTCTGACTATCATGTTAACTTGTTTTCTATTACGATTTGAGAAATATCCATCGTTGTATTAGTATTATAATGACAACGACTTTCATCATATTTAATATTCCATTAAATTAAATCATGAATCGCTAATATTTTTAGATTATATTATTTATGGCAAAAGAGTCGAATCCGAATTCAACAATCAATAAAAATCGATAAATTACGTGCTAAAGAAGACTTTCTTCGACAAATAGAAGCATTGAATGAGAATACAGATAAATATAAAAACTGAAAAGAAGTTTATTAAAGAATGTTGTATTTTCTTTTCTTTTGACTGCTCTAAAGGAGATATCACTGTTCCATCACCAACACCGACTACACTTGATCCTTTAAATACAGCTTTTATCGATGGACATATTGATTATTTACTCAAAATAGACTAAAAAAGGAATATATTCTATTTTTTATAAAGTAGTGAGACCACTATCAATGAACAGCACCGTGAGAATTTCATTCAAGAAAAAAATTATTCTATGATTTTGGATGGGATAGGTCACACTTTGAGTGATGCATTAGCCATCCTTCGTCGATCGATCGCCATAACTATCGAAGATGAAGATGGATGAACTGATGAAACTTTGCCAACAACAACAACAACAACAACAATAGTATCAAATTTAATAACCACGATTGATGCATCTTCAGCAATGCCTGGTACGATCGATATTTGTATATCTACGCTAGCTACAGTCGATCTTTGTACACTTGAACCTCTTACGATTGATTTATGTTTACCTGAAACAGCAGTCACATAAATACTACTAACCCACTAAGTCGTTTAAGTTCGAAATAACATTTTATTATTTCTCTTTTTGTCGTGTTTCCATTACCTATACTCTGTCCGATCATTTTTTATTTATTTCAAAACTAGTTATTTTATTCGTTCTCTTTTTCATTCTCATTTCTTCTAGATATTAAAAATTACAGAAAAATTCATCATGGTTAACCCAAATGATATCCATCAAAATCAGAGTAGCGACGACAATATTAATATCTTCTATCGATTCATTCTTTCATATTTACTTCTACATTATAGTGTCAATGTGTTATCGGTGAACATTAATATTGATATTATCAACCAAAAACATAATATATCGATCAACATATAAACCATAAAATTAAAATAACTACAATTTTCATTGATATGCGCCTGGTAAAAATTGAAGCGAACAACAGCAACAAAACTTTGATGAATAAATGAAATAAATATCTACTACTCTTGCGCACGCATTGATCACCAATACCTCCATACATATTTTCAACACCACCTTCAATCATCACCTGACAATGACGAATATAAAATAATATATCCTGCTTATTCATATAAACATCAAACTAACAGAAACAATACAAATAGAACCACAATGTATCGTGGAAAACAATCACCTAAGAACGTGTAACACTTAATTTGATAATAGATTTTATGATACCTTTTAATGCCATCACACTTTCTCCATGGAATAATCATGAATTAGACAATGAATCACCAAAGTACAAACTTCATCAACATATTAATATAAGACTAGGGATGGCACTTTATCTTTACTTTATCCAGTAAAATAGAACGCATATACTTTACTTTACTCAGTAAAATAAAGTAACCTAGTGCAAATTGCCTGTCTTCTTAATTCTCGACAAAAATCAGATCAATTAGAAGAACGTCGATAGTGTAAGTGACGATTAAAATTTTGTCTTTAATCAAACTTTACCCTCAAATTGAATTATAATACTTAAAATTAACTGCTGATAAATTGACTCAGTATCATAAATTGATAATAGTACTGCACAGTTATTAATATATGATGTTAGACCACAAAATCAGTATTAAAATGTGGCTGTTCAAGTTCACTTTACTTTACTTTTTTCAGAGTAAAATAAAGATAAAGTGCCACCCCTATACAAGACTCAGAAGAACAGAAGAAAAACAACAATTTACCGCAATACATATGCCATGTACCATTTATTTAAACTTTACATAAAAAATACAAGTAGATGTTATAAGTATACGACGATCATCGAAACAATACCATCGGACAATTTTCATAAATTTCCATATACTCACAGCAAATGAAAACTCCAATTTGAATCATTAATCAAGATATCCAGACGCGAAAGTATGTTAAACAGTACGTCCGACAGGACGCATCAATCCGTAATACAATAGCAATATACGAATAAATTGATGAAAATCATAAAATGAAAGCGATTGCAACAATTCTTATCTTCACCTTGTCCATAAAAAAAACCAAATGATCGAGACATAAAATCATTCTTCCAATCATTTTCAACCAAGAGTTACTCACAGTTTCTGTTTTCTTCTCATCATAACATTCTCGTTGCTAAGATGAAATATCGATATCACGGTAGCTTAACACATCCAGACAACGACTCTTAAGCAAGGTTGAAAAGCGTCGTATGATGTTTTGAATCTCCTGTCTTATTCTCTAGCTATGCTTATCCTCACACATCTCAATACTTATGGATGAAGATCAAATCTTTGTAGATGCATGTACCTGAAAATCTCAGTTTCAAATATATATATATACCTACATATGATTGGATTGGTTGAACGTCCTGTGACTAATTTTAGAGGAATATATATTCATTTTGTTTATCTATCTGAATACTTTTTTGTCTTTATCTCCTAGAAATCACATATAACTTTACTTCTCTTTTAGATTTTATTAATAAACATCTTTTCCTTATCCTTCTATTATACTTAAATGGCTAATCAAATCAATAACGAAGAAGACTTAAGAGAAAATATCATTTACTCGTCGGATGATGAAGAAGAAGAAGAAATAGACAATCGCCGTTTTCCAATTGATGAGGATAATGAAGACGACAAATGGTCATCGCCCAGTAATAATGAATTATCTCATCATCATTTAGAACCACAATGTCTGAAAAATGTGGACTGGAATGATCTCAATGATTTCATTTGTAGTATGAATGAAGAACATGTGGATGAAGATGAACATAAACATATTCGTATAGAAAAAGGAAGACTTCTTTTATTACGATCTAAATTAATGGAGGATAATATGATCTTACGAGCTACTTATAAAGGCACTGGATTTCATTTATGTCCAGTGGATATTTTCCAACAAAAATCATCGGATTTCATGCTACGAACAGGTGCCTATTCATTGATTCAAGAACTCAATGTCGAAAATCAAAATATGAGTCAAGAATGTTTAGCTAATATTGTTAATCGAGTAGAAACTACACTAAACGATTTACTTCATTCAAAATCTATCACTAACATACAATATGCAAATATGAATACTAATCGATTATTAGTACGATTGAATTATTTATATTTCGTTCCAGAAACACACAAGGTTTGTCTTTTTATACTCATTCGTAAGATCTGATTGTATTAATATACACTAGGAACTCATTCCAGTTTGATCAATCATGGTTTGTAATGATGGACCAACAATGAATATCATGTTATCTCAGTCAACTTATTGAATCACTCTTTGATCAATTCACTCATTGTAAACTATTTTCTAATGACATCGATGCCATAGATACTCTTGAATTATATCAACAAAGTAAACATTTACAACCAACTACTTTATTTGCATCATTCAATATTGATGAATTATGTACAATGTTCTCTCATCAACAAGCTATTGAAGCATTGAAATTTGTTCTGGATTATCATGCATTCGATCATTTCATCGACGGTATCACTATTGATACAATTATTCAACTTGTTCGTCTCGTTCTGAAAAATCAATCTTTTATTTATAATGACAACTTATATCAACAAATTCATGATGGTGCTTCTGGTTCTCCATTGACTATTCCATTGGTTTATATCTATCCAATTTATTGGCGACGAGATTTAATAAATATTTTTGTAAATAAGCACGAAGCGTTTGGAAGGTATTTTCTTCGTTTTTTCTTTCGATGACATTCCTATTTAGTAATGACTATATCTGTTTATTCATATAAATATCGTGATGAAGCATTTATTAAATGGAATAGATTTAAAGATGAACTTCTTTCAATACTTGACTTAGCTAATACACAGTTTTATCAAAATATTTGGGGCACTACTTGCATCGGAACAAAAAACAAATTTCATGGATGTTACAATCGATCATAATAACGGTGTTCTTTATACAGGTGTTTATCATCAACCAAGTTTTGAATATGATCCATTATGCGCACTACCAAATGTAACTGAACGCCCAATAAAAAAACAAATCCAAATGGTTTCTAGCAGCTTTTCTTCGACAAGCTCGATATTGTTCGAATAGATATGAATGGTATAATGAACATTGTTACCTCGAACGTTCATACAAAGACAACAACTTCTCGAAGGAGTTTTTCAAACATGTTCAGGACGAAGTTATCAACGATTTCTGGCCAATGCTAATGCGATAGATGCGTGGTTCGCAAGCTAAGGATTTTACTCTTCGACAAATTACTCAATATAATAGATCTCAAACAGTGCTCAAAAAACAACGAAAAGAATACGAAGAAACCGTATTCCATCTTTTAAACACATCAAATTCGTATAAATCTATTGCACCTGATTGTGAAAAAGAATTCAACAAATACTTCTTCGACAACTGTTTCGACCCCAATCCACGAGTGCAAGAGGTATGGTATAAGATTTTTTCATGTGATTCTTCTCTTTTAACAACAAATGATCTGCTCGTGAACAAACGACCATCTATTCGTCTGTTAATCTTGTCAGAGTTGGAGAAAAACAAGAAGCGTATATATTCAATACTTCTTATTCGTTCTTTTCAGTACTAAGGATATTCTATTCCTTTTGTAGATAGCTTCGACTAGAATAATCATGCTTGGTAATACACACTGTTCAACAAATCAATTGTTTTTCTTTCTGCTTTTGTCTTGCCTGTCATTATTCATAGCCTGTATTGTAGTGCAGTGTTCCAGTGTAGATATTTGTTTTATTCACCTATCCGATCAATAAAAGATTAATCATAAAAAGAACTCATTCTGTATAAAATCTTTCGCATTATTATAAATCACATTAACCAACTTCTTCATTGACTATTCTTTTCTTATATTTTCTTAGATAATTGCAATAAACCAGGATCTACATATGTCACTACATCCACAACCAATATTCTTCTTCATACAGTAAGTTCTCAAAAAAAATTATCTTTCTCATTCTTCTTTTTTATTCTACCGATTTCGTTCATTTCTTTTCATTTTCTCACCAACATCTATCTCATTAATCACATAACATGTACTATGATACCTTGTTATACATACATGCAACCGATTTTAGCATTACGTTTCTTCACATTCAAAAGACACATAGCAAAATAAATTAACTTTTTTGGATAATATACGATTCAAATAGATCATTCTTTATTACAAGAGTTTTACAAAACACTTCATTCATTTTCGTCCGTCTCTCTATCTGTGACAATCGTCCGAATACCTTATTTTCGCCTTCCATTTTTACAATAACCAAAGGCATCACACTTCATTATCACTCAAACACCACCTTTTCTATACTTCCAACTTTCCGTCATATACATTCGGCTTACATTGTTTCCTTTTATAATTTAACAAATCATTATCTTCGGCACCGTCACCTTCTTTATTTTTATACAACCGAATTCTGATACAGATCTACCTCTCTAACGACGCTCATGACGTTTAACTCAAGCTTTTTCGTAGTGTATACCTACAACTTCAACGGAATTTAATCTAGCATTCCATTCTACCATGTACATAGTAGTTCAAAAACCCCACATGAATACGAGTGAGTTTCGAATTAACCTCGTGTCGAAAATTTTCTATTTGAACGTTTTCACTACGAGTGCCATCTGAAGATCGTGATTGCTTACGTGAAATATCGATATCATAGTAGCTTAACACACCTACACCCCCACACCCCCCACACACCCACATCCAGCCTAACCGCTAGCGTACCATGAATATAAAATCATATTTTTAAATACAGGTGCGGATAGTTGATTATGTATTATTGATACTAATTTAATTATATTATTTCTCTCATATAAATTTATATTTAATTCATCTAAAGCTACACGACTATATAGTTTTTGGCTAAATTTTGCATATGACGGTTAAAGTATTTATCAAGTGGTTGTATATCAGATGTTGTTTTTTAGTGGTATTTGAATGCGGTGAATCGCTTTTCCAATTGATTTTAAATCAGTGTATATGTCATCATCGTTTTGACCAGACCATGAATCTGATAAGAGTAAAACTTTTTCTCCAGTTGATGGTACTAAAACATTGTCCCTCCAATACTGGTCCAACGAACTCGTCACTTTACCTGACACAGAACATGTAATGACAACATTTTTTGGTTGAAATAAATGACGTTTTACAATGTCACCTATACCACCATTTGGCTCTTGAAGGCACACGTACATCGGTCCGATTAGTTCTCCATTTAAACTAATTGTAGGTTGAATTGTATATGAATGGACAGTTGCATTTTTTGATGCAACGCACCCAAGAGTTTTCTTCTCACCTTGAAATGATAATGTACGTGTCGAGTGTAATTCTTTTTCAATACCTACCTGATCCATACTTAAAATCTCTTTTCTCGAATATTCTTTTGACAATCGATGAAATTTTTCTAAAAAATCTATTTTTGATTTCTTTATATCACCAAAATTAATTATTTCTTTTTTTGTCACTATATTAGTCACCTTACGAGAACATATCCCATGACGATTTTTAAATTTCAGAAGCCCCGATTCTGAATCTGTAAAACTATCCAGGTTCACCTCCCTTGCAGCTTGTAAACCACATCGTTGAATGTCAATGTTGTGAATCGGTAGATATTGTTCACGAGCTTTTAAGAACTTTTGATGAACAGCTTTATCAATATCTTGAGTTTTTTGTCGTTTTGTCTCTTGTTGAGCTACATATTGACGAAATCGACAAATATAAGCTTGCTCTGGAATGGATCGATATCGATGTTTAACAGTTTTTCATGATCGACGTCATTTACCAGATGAATCTTTTGCATCAGCAAAACCAATTACTTCCTTCATAAATTCAATAGAATAATTATTTAACCGATAATTTTCTTTTGTATCTTCTTCATTATCCCATTCATCATTAGAGCCGTTGCCATCACTATCGCAGCCAACAATATCATTATCATAATAATAATCATCCAAATCATTCACCAAATCCAATGTTACTTCAGCATCATGATGAAATTGATCACAGTTAGTATGTGAGTTAATGATTTCAGCTAAACGTTGCGCGATTAAACGCTGTTTTTGAGAGATTTTCGTTATCTTTAAACTCAAATCAATATCAAATAGTTCTGATAAACACGGTACCACATTAGCAGCGCTCATCACAACTGAAGAAAGATATCTGTGGAGAAGAGGAACGATTTATATTAACAGACGTGGATATCAGCTACTGCAAGTGACTATTATTATATCTTTGCATACAAATCTGAATTCCAGCTATATGTTGGAATAATAGATTATAAAGATTATTCACTTAATTATCAAGAGTAAATTCACGAGTAAAAATCAATTTGAAATAAAACTGTAAGTTATTATCTTTTTATATTGTAATGTTACTATGTATCTGTTACATCAATTGTAATGGTTTTATGACCTTCAAAACTCGATTCGAAACAGAAAAAAAAATGTTTTCATAGACAATTCAATATGCTGTACAAACTGGATGGATCAAAAAATCGATCTGATGAAAAAACATTTTTAGCCCGAAAAACCGGTTTTCTGGACTCCCACCCCCTATAAAGGTGTAAGGGAACTTCTCATATTCATATTGTGAATCAGCATAGTCGATAACCTACAACCCAGTAGGTTTCATCCAAAAAGCGACTTGACAGTTTGGAAGGTTCCCTCATTAGTGCTAAGTTTAAGTTTCTCATATTTAACACTTAATTCAAAGGATGAAAAACTGATTGCAATCCCAGCAATCATTGTCAATCATTGATAATCAGAAGTGGACCACTTTTAACCTATTTTTCTGCTATTGTACGGACAAAACATGTTGTTGTTCGGGCCAGATGAAAGAGAATCCTCGCAAACCCTCAGATTGGCCGGAACGAGACTATGTTTTGTCCGTACAATAACGAATAAAGAGGTTGCTTGCATCAGATTGGTCGACAGTAAAAAGGTCTCGACCAATCAGATTTTAGTTGCGTTTTTTCCTCTATTATAAGGATAAAACATGGCCATGTTCGGGCCAATCTGGGGGTTTGCGAGGGTCCTCTTCTATATGGCCCGAGCAACAACATGTTTTGTCCGTACAAGAGGAGAGAAACAGATTAAAAGTGATCCACTTATGATTGCCAGTGATTGACAATGATTGCTTTGATTCCAATCAGCTTTTCCTCCCTTGACAATTACATCAAAAATTACTTCAACAACTAACAAGACGAGAAAGAGAACAAGAAATAATAATTTTCGATCCAAATCAAGTTTCATCGAATCAATCAAAACAACAACATGATTGAAATAAAAAAGAGATACCTATTTATTACATTTTTGGAAGTGGCCCAATATTATCTTTCAAACGCGAATTTCATCTTCTATGGAAGACACATTTTATCTATCCTGGTTCCATAATGGACGGTGTTAGTTTCAAGATTGGTATCCGAACCAACAAATCGCTCAGTCAATTATTAATTAAGAAAAAACCACCAAGATCAATGCTAACTAATGTTGATGCGACAAATACCTAATGAACAAAGTAAGAAGATTGTACTTTCACTAGTTCTTCATATGATTGATATTTTTCTCTTTCTTTAAGAGACAAGGACATGGTTCATTCAATACAATACTGCTTACTCGCAGTTTTGCCTTCAAAGAAACCATATACGTTTTCTCGCCTTTTTTTCTTCATTGAGAAACTGCTGTAGTTTTCTAATCTTGAAAGTTTTTTTTTAACAAGCGTTTGATCTTCTTTTTGCAATACAGGCGTAACATTCAAAGGCATTTTCATGACTATGATTTATGCTTTCAGATCTATCCTTCATCATCAACATATTATTTGAATGATGAACTTCAATGACAATAATAACAGACTGATTAATCATTCGCAGAGTTCAGATATCCAGTATTATCAAGATTGATATCCAACTTTTTCCAACCAAGATCAAACCATACAAGAATTACAACACTCTGAACAACAACAACATGAACAAAAGAAGAAAAGTCGTGGAAATCGAAAACTACTACGTTATCATCGAAAACTTCGAAATCAAGGAATAGATTCCGAGAACATTGCCTACTCGACAGCTGCTTAGGTCGATATTGATTCGAAAAAAAGTATTGAAATCAAAAACGAAAATATAGAAACAGCAACTTTATCCGTTAATAAAGCAACTTTTCATCCAACAATGATAACAACAACATCAATGATGAAAAAGCAAACCAACGCACAACGAAATAAAAATATGAAAATGAATAACAACTTAAGTTGTTCAGTGCCCACAAGCGAAGTTAACTTATCGAAAACTACCATCAATAAGTCGTTCGATTACACAAATGTACCCAATGAAATCTTTCATCAAATGTTATCAACAACTTCTAATGACCGCATGGATAAACTTAGCCATTTTTGGAATGAAAACGAAAAAATTGTATATGTTCATCAATATACTAGTTTGATCGATCATTTATCTTATGCAAAATTACAACAACAACAATGAAACTATTACTATCACATTGATATGACACAAGGTACATGGACGTGTTGAATATCAAAAGAATTGGCCGAGAAGAATTCCATGTGTTATATATATGGTAAATCGAAGAATTTGATCCAACAACGTCGCGAAAAAATTCAAGAACAATTACAACAGGTGCAAAATGCCGTTCAATTAATTGAACAACAAATACTATCCAAAACTACACATCATATCGATTATCGTTCAGAAATGCAAACATTGCCTTCAATCATTAACACATTCATCTATAAAAATCAACAAAGATTACGAGATGAATTCGAATATAACAGACAAAAGTTGATCTTGGATGCAACTGATCATCGCTTGGTTCAAGCATTTTTTGATATAAAGCCGAATAAATCACAGATTAGAATCAAATCTGTTGTCTTCCTTTTTGCATGCAACAGCTTCATACACTCTAATTTTTGATAGATTACCTTAGCAAGACGCATTTGACAAGCTACAGCAAAGCAAATAATGATGAATGAACAAGTTTCTATATTGGAACATCGACTTACATCAAAGCAATTACCACCAGCATCTACTGTTCTTGATCATATAATTGATAAAATTGATACAATACTTGCAAAATCAAATGATATTATCAAAGAACATACATCAAGTAATTCTTTATCTGTTCAACTTGAGAGCATGAATCAGTTCAAACATGATATTACTCAACAAAGTATCATTATCGGTTGCAAAATAGTAGAGTTTCGTCAAAACTACACTTGACGAAAAGGAAAGATACTTTCATAACAGAAAAAATGATAATGCGCCCCTTCCATCTGAAATGCATGTCGCATTGATCAACGTCATCGAGACGCGTCGATTACATATGATTGAACATGCCCAATACATAACCCAATACAAACTGGCAATATATTTCAAATAGTAAATATTTATAAAATATTTATCCTTTTCATATCTCGACATAATTATCTTCCCCTTTTGTCATTAACCTTACTTACTTTTGAATATAAACATAATATACTTACAAGCACATTTCTAAAAAAACCATTACATTTCTATTGTATTCTAGATATCTACTACTATTTTCATTACTGAATAAAAACACAACATTTTCAAACAAACAGAACTCAGATGATAAAAGTAACAAACATAAAAGAGTACTAGGTAAGCATTATTGAAGACTACCAACAGAAGAACATTTTCGTATGAAAAATAACATTCATCAACTACTTAACGATTTTATAACTTACGAGGGAACATTCCCAAGTGATACGCACCATTTGGGTTCATATTGTGCTCATAAGTAGGACCCAATAAGACTAGAAAAAGCCTAAAAGAGTTCGTGCCATTAGGCCTTTCTTTCAA